AGAGGGAGGACCAGCCACGCAAGGGCCCCGAGGATCCGCGAGCCCCGTCCGAGCCCGAGTTGCTCCTGGTCTCGGCATCCTAGCTGGTGGCAGGAGCGGGTGGGGCGAGGGGAGAAGCATGGAGGAAGGAGGAGCAGGACGAGACGGACGAGGAGGGAATGGGAGAGCAGGGAACAGGGAGATCGGGGAGCAGGGAAAGGGCGCGCGGAGTATGATGGGCTGGAGGGAGAAGGGGGGGGAAGGAGAGATAAAGGGAGAGGGGAGCAGGGACGAACGGAGGAGCGGAGATGAGGATGGAACGCGGAAGGCGGAGGACGAGAGGACGACGGTGATGACGCGGCGCGCAGTCTCCACAGGGCGCGCCTCTGGGTCGAATCGGGGCCCTGCCCTGGAGGCAGTGGGCCGCATACAGAGGGACCCCCACGCCACTGGCCCAAGCCCATAGAGGAAGAAACGCCATGAACAGAAAATTTTGGCGCTCCGCGCGGATTTCTTGGATCCGCGCTGGCCCCCCCCCCCGGCGGCGCCTCCGGCGCCGCCCCTGGCGCGCTCCGCGCACCAGGGAGGGGGGCCCAGCGCGGATACAAGAAGTCCGCGCGGAGCACCAAAAGTGTGTATATGTTTATGGCGTTTCTTCTTCGAGCCCAGCAGCACAAGAGCTGCAAGAGGAGAACCCCGAGGGGAAGACCCCGACGGACGGCCATCGGCTCGGGGAGCCCACGGACCACGGGCACGCGCACGCAGGCCCCCCGAGGCAGGGCTCCAGATTTGGCCGAACGGGGGGAGGCCCGCGAAGGCCTGAGCTCCTCCTCCTCCTCCCCCTCCTCCTCCTCCTCCTCCTCCTCCTCCTCCTCCTCCTCCCTCTCCCTCTCCCTCTCCCTCTCCTCCTAGTTCTCTTCCTCCTCCTCCTCCTGCGACGGCGTGGGGGGTCTGGCATTAGAGGACCGAGCGCCTCAACGGTGAGGGGGCGACATCGCCGATTGACCGGCGACGGGCCCCCGTTAGCGAATCCGCACGTGGACGGGCGGGGTGGGCTTTCAGGCCCCTATCGGCGATCAGTGGACGATTGGGGTCGATGCATCCCCCGCTGAGCCCGTCCCGTCTGCTCCCTAACGCTGCCCTTGACCTGGGCGTACGGAAAGGTAAACCGAACGCTGTCAAAAACGGTGGCAGCCAACGCAAAAACACAGACAGGGCAAGGGTGAAACGCGCGAAAACGTGATGCGAGCAGCGATGCATGGACAGCGTGGAAGGCGCGGAGGCCAGACTGGGCCAATCCGCGTGAGAGGGGAAGAGCAGACGCAGCGAATCAGAGAAATCCAGAGCAGAAGGCGCCAAGGAAGGCGACAAGCGCAAACCATGCACCTGAGCGGACAGTGGCAACAGTAGAGCAGACCAAAGAACCTTGCAGAATAGAGCATGCGTCAAACAATTGGGCTGGAGCGCACGAGACGGGCCAGGATGTTCAGGAGGAGAGGAGACGACCAAAATGACGATCACTGATCGCGAGCAGCACCTGACACGCGCACTAAAGCACGTCAATTTATCTGGCCGCTCGCTCTGGAAACCGCCTGGCCCACTCGAGAACAATTTGGCGGCGCGCACAAGGGTGTGGAGGGAATGGGCGGGCTCCTTAGGAGGCTGCTTCTTAGAAGGCGCCGGCCTTGCATCTGCACAGAAAGCCCGCGCCCTCTAGGAAGCAGGGGTGCTTCTGACACGCCCTCCCCCCTCCCCCCCACCGCCCCCTGCGCGTGGCTGAGGGGGGCGCGTCCTGCTTCGCCGCGGGCGTGGATATGTTGAGGGCACCGTGGCACCAGCATCCGCGACAGGGCCACGCGCGGCCATGCCACAAGGGCAGAGCCTGGCGTACGCCGCCCTCTGCTTAGGTCGGGCATGTCCCCCTACAGGAGGACTCTGGGCGAAAAATTAAGGATAGTCCAACAATGCCCCAAATAGTCAAAAACAAGTCCCCGAACTATTCCTGTACTATTTTGGGACATTCCCTCTGCAGAGGGACAGGCCGGACTCAACCCTATGCTTGGCAAGCACGCGCTGCCCAGGCCGGCCGGCCCGCTCCGGGGCGAAGGAGCGCATCGACCGCGGGCCCACTGGCCAGGAGTCCGCGGGCGAAGAGGGGCACATAGAAAGCTCTTCCGCGGTCGTGGGCGCCAGTCCCAGGGCTGGAAAGCAGTCTGCACCCCCACCTGCCACTGTAGGGTAGGGGTACAAGCTCCCCGGCCGCGCTGGGACAGGTGCCCCTGGTGGCGGAGCAGCTTATTTCATACTCTTCGACTGCTGAAGACGGGGTCTGCCAAGCGGACCAGCGGACGATCTAGCGGTGAACACAAAGCGAAAGCTCCGCCGAAAAAGCTCGGCGTGCTGCTTCACTGCCACGAGGTTCTCGCGAGCCTTGGAGTCGTCAGGCTCCAGGCTCTCGCCCTCTGATACTGCCGCTGCTGCCGCGGCAGAAGCGACTGTTTGGCCAGACGCTGGGGGCAAAGGCAGCTGGAAAAACTTCGGCGTGCTGGCAAGCTCCGCGCTCGAACCACTTCTCCCGCTGGTGCCGATCGGCGTCGGTGGTCGGTGAATCACTGGACCAGACACGCTCTGCAGACAAAGCCAAAGCCGGCCACTCGCTCGCAAGTGGTCTTACCTCGCCACATCCGTCTAAGAAAGACTGGTCGCAATAAGTGCAAGCGGGCAGGCCCGTGGATGTCGCGGGAGGAGGCTTGCGCTGCAGACAAGACAGCGAGGCACTGTGGGAAAGTAGCACTGGCCACCTGTCCTGTGTGCGCGTGGTCGGGGGCTCGACAGGCCTGAAGTCCCGATCTTGATGAAGAGATGCCCGTCGGGCCTCAGTGGGAAGTCCAGCGTCGCTGTGTGGCAGCGGCGGGCGGAGGTGCTTCATGTCCACCTGCGCTGGCGCATCGACAGCAGCTGGAGGGCCAACAGGAGCGATCGAGTCTTAGGCCCCAGATCAACGCGTGAGAAGTTTGGCATGCCTTCACTCGGCTCGGGACATCAAGTCCACGGCATCAGGCGGCCCCCTGGAAAAACGGCGGCGACCTCACGTGGCGCGACATGAGTCTCCCCGCGCACTGGGGAGCCCAAGTCGCCGCCTGCCCGAGGGAGAGAGGGCCCGTGAGCGGCAGGCATGCGGATGGGCAGGGCGCTGGGGAATGCTGGGTGCTCGTGCGGGGGGACCTGCCGGGGGGCGCCGAACCCAGGGTGGGCACAGAGGGGGGGGAGGGGCCGAGCGCAAGACGGAAGCGGGGCCCTGCTCACCTCGGACCGGGACGGTGCGCCTGAAGGGCGAGGGGCGGAAGAGGGAGGGCGGAGGGTGGGGGGAGCTAAGGCCAGCGGAAGGAGCTCGTAAGAGGCCACTCCCGGCGCCTGGGCAAGGAGGGGCGAGGAAGGACGGAGGACGGGGAAGGGAAGGAGGAGTCAACGAGGCTGGGCGGAAAGACGGGAAAGGGAGGCGAACACTTTTGAATCGCCCTCGGACCACTCAAATGGCTGCGGCATGAAACAGAAACAAATCAGACAACATGTTGCCGCGCCGACTCCATGACATTTACATACATTTACATTGGGCCCACTAGGGAGGGAAATGGTTTCAGGCCTCCCGAGGGCGGAGTATGCCGCGCCGCGCCTGCCCAAACTGTTTCCCGAGCCTGGCCCAAGCCATCGTACAGACAAGCCAAGAACTTTGCAGTGGCCTCTGGCCGGGCCAACGTCACCGTGTTCCCGCTGTGACCGTTTAGGCTGCCACAATCACGCCCGCAGCCTCGGACAACGCGTGAAAGTGAAAATGTAAATTCTGGCTGCGCCGGAAGCTCCCTCGAGCTCCGCACCGCACAAACTATGATACACATGATTGGACGTAGACTCGGGGCGGACATACCTGCACTTAATCGTACTGCACAATCGTATCCTCAAGCACAAAGCGTGAGCGCGTGCTGCCTGCTCCTTGGTTTGAAACCGAAATCGGCTGTGAATCGTTCGGTCTTCTCCCAGGCTAAGAACTTCGTTCGGAGATCTGCGGGCATCTCCTCGGCCACCCTGTTAAGCCCAACCCTGAGTATATCGATGGCCTCCTGGACCCAAGCCAACACGGTGTCAATGCGTTTCGTTTTGCCCAAGCCTCTCCTCGACGCCATGCCGATCGCAGCGGCCGCGTCGACATTGACACCCACAGATGCGCCAAGCTCCATGCCAACGCTAAAGATCATAGCCAGCACAATTCCGACATCAAAATCCCTAGACAGTAATACCCCGCTTCGCCATTACACTCAAAGCTATGGCGGACTGCCCCCTGCACTCTTGCAACAGGCAATGCGCCCCAGCTGATATACACCCGCCAGAAGTGCTCTTGCGCGCACGACAGCAACCTGCGTGGTCGGCGCCACACCATCCCTTCAGGAAGGTGGCCGCCTGCTGGTTTCTAGAATGCTGTACGAGGCACGGCGCGCCATATAAATAGCGCGCAGCGTGATTTAGAACGCTCGCGTGTCTCTCAATCGGGCTCTGCATGTTTTTCGCCAGCGCCCGGCCCGGTCAGCGGTGCGGTCCTGGGCGATGTACGCCAAACGCATGCATGAAAATCTGTACCACGTGCGCTCGTCAGCAGAGATCTCGACGCCCCCAATCTCGATGTTTTGGGGTTTCACCTTTAGCCCCGGAGTCGTGAACTTCGCGCCCGCATGCTCCAGACCGAGCTCCCAGACTACGATCTGCACGCGCCACGCGCCGCACTGCCACTCGACCCCGTCGAGCGCTCAAGTGAGCAGGCGGCTCAACACGCGAATGCTCTACAGTGTGTCGGGCGCGCCGGGCGGCCCGAATGCTCCATCAACCTTGACCGTCCACTCCTTGCTGAGCTCCGTGTAGAGCCAATCGAAGTCCCCTGGCGGAACCCAACAAACTCATCTTGGACGCCATACACGTCCCCCATAGGGACGCGGCGCCCCACATGCCACACATGGATCGAACTAGTCGGCCAACCTCGTCGCTGGTGATGCCGCGTACCTTCTTGCAGTCCTCTGGCAGCTCCACGAACACGCCCTCTCTGCCATGGCCCAGAAGTGCGCCCCTTTCGCCTTGGAGCTGCAGCACGTACTTCCCCTTCTTCGCATACGCGAAGCCCTTGCGGGGAAACGCCACCGTGACCGCAGTGGAATGAGACGCGTTTGAAGATGGCAACGGCGGCATCGCAGCGAAGTGCTGCTCCACCGGGCCCTCGTGCTGTATCTCCTTCGCCACCGGCCTGCTGCGCGCCTGGAATTCGACCTCGTCGCCCCCGTCGACGTCGATCCACCTCGCGCCGGTCACCTTGAAGCCCGCAGGGCGTTGGAAACCACTTCCCAGAGAACGCTGTGTCGATGAAGTTCATGTCCTCGGCCCTCGCCTCCTGGGCGAGATCCCCGGGCAGCGCCTTCCCCCGCGAATCGTCTCTGCGCGCCAGGTCCTCGGGGCCGACGAAATCCCCGTAGTCCAACTCGAACGGCTGCTCGACCAGAATTGGGCACTCGTCGCCCGAGTCGCGAGCTGACTTCATCAACCTCTCACGCTGCGACTCGACTTGCGCGCAGATCGCGTTCTCGATCTCGTCGTCCTCCCCGCCGTGGTCGATGAGACGGGCCATGATGGAGATTGCATTATCCTCCATTACCTCGTGGCCGTCGCTTCCCGCGGGTGGATCTCCTCGCTTTCGACCCCTGTCTGAATCCACGCGCGCGGGGGGCAGCTGGCTCGTCGCCGAAGCCGCGCCCCGCGCCAACTGTCCTTCCCAGGGCGCCGAGCGCGCTGACCCAGTGCCGAGGCCGCACCTTCCGCTGGCTGCGCCTCCCAGGATGCCAAAGGCTGCTGGCTCGATGTCGAAGCCGTGCCTGCCGCTGAGTCTGCTGGCGACGTCCTGGCCGCCACCCTGCGCCCAGCGCCTCGGGGGCTCCCCGCATGCGCCTCCTCAGACGCTCGCTTCTCGGCCCCCCGCCGACCTGCGTGGAGCTCCTCACTCGCCGCGGCCGCCCGCGTCCTCTGACAGCACTCGGGCGTGCGCGACAAATCCTGCCGATGCATGCTTAGAGCGCGCGCTAAGCATGCCGGGCGCCCCTCCGCGCGCCCGCGCTTGTCCATGTCCGCGAACGCGACGCAGTACTTTGGCACGCCCCCAGTCTGCTCGGCCGCCTGGACGGGCCCCGTCGGCGGCCCTGGGCTGCGGCAGGAGCTCAGGGGCACCTGGGAGTTCGATATCCTGGTCGTTGCGCCCATCCGGCATCGGCTTCCCAGGTGGCCCCTCTGAGCTTTGACAACGCCTCGTTGTCGCAACGCTGGTCTCCCGGCAGCCGCCTCAACGACTGCGCCGCGAAGACGCCGTGGCCCGTGCCCGCGGTCTTCTCCGTGCTCTCCACCGTTACGCCGAGAGACAGTCCGCGTTCCCAGCGCGCCTCCAGCTCGCGCCGCGTGCGCTTCTTAAATTCCACGCTCTCGCCGAAGGCCGGCAATCGCACCTGCCACGCCTGCCTCTTCGCTCGCCGGAACGGCGCCGCGCCGTTCCCCCCGCGGTTGCAGATGCAGCGCAACGTCGACGCGTGCTCAATGAGCCACGCTACCACTGGACTCTTAGAGCTCATCTTGACCTGGGCATGGATCTCCGCCTGCCCCTTGAGCGCCGGCGCCAGTCCACCGCAATTCCGGCAAGCGCGCTCGGCCCCCCCGCCGGGCGCATTCTCGCCCTGCCCTTCGGGGCCTTCTCGATGATGACCTCGGCAGCCCGGGCCCCCATGATCTCCCGAACCACAGCCGTCATCGATCTCTTCTGGTCGCTCTTGGCGCTCATCTTCGCGCGCGCCAGCCAGTCCAATTCCACTGCCACGGCCTTCACAAGGCACAGCTCCACCACGCCTTCTTCTCCAATCCCTGGGGCGGAACTGGGTGAACAAACGGGCGCTCCGCGCTGCGATCGTGCCCGACCCGCGCCGGCAGGCTCTTGCCCGCCACCAACTCGAAAGGCGCTTCTCCGGGGGGCTCCCAGAACCCATAGTCGACCGAGAACGTACTGCACACATCCCGGCTCTTGTCCTGCTTGAAGCGGGGGCCGCTCTCCGCCCGCCCTCGCGCGCAGGCCGCTCGCCACGACCTGAAAGAGCGATGCGATACCTCGCGGTCCTCAACCATCTTCTGCGCAGGCTTCAAAGGTGCAAGCATTGCCCTCGAAGCTGCGCTCTTTTCCGGCGGGGTCTGCAAGCTCGACGCCGCAGCCGAGCCCCCTGGAGGGGCGCCCGCCAAGCCCGCGCCCACCATCGCGCCCCTGCAAATGATGGGGTACATGGCTGGGGTCGGTCCAAAGCCAGCCGCGCGAAACCCTGCATCCGGTGCTGCCGCGGCTTTTTGACCCATGCCGGGAGCCGGAGGTGCCGCCCTTCTCGGAGATCTTCATGGCCTGGCCCGTCTGGTAGTTGAAGATGCCGCCGCCGCTCTTTCCCCCCGAGTCGAGCTAGACACAGCTACCGTTGGTCACCATCTGCAACACAGAGCTCATGGGACGATGGGCGTCGCCAACTTCCCAACTGGTTTTCATATCGCCCCCAGACATGAAACCAACAACCAACGCTTTTTCGCCGTTCCTCTGCAGCGCACGCCAGAAAGCCGCGCTGTGCGACCAAGGCCCACCAGCCAATCTCAAAGGATAGTCCCTGGCCACGTGCCGCGGCAGCATGCTCGCCGAGGCGCCCGAATCGTCCTCTCGCGCCCCTCGCGCTGCCACATCCGCCAGGGCCCCTTGGCGGGAGACATCCAGCCAGGCATCCGCAGCGCCCCATTCCCCGCGGGACTTCCACCGCGGGGGCGGCTCGACGACGAAGCCACGTTGCCCCAGGACCCGCGCGCCCGCGGCCTCCACGCCCCCCCCACCCCCCCTCCCCGCCAAGCAGCGCTCCAGGAGGTGCGACCCGAAGCTCTCCAGCGCGCTGAGTCAGCACGGGGCCCGGTGGCCGCCCGCGTGTCGTCGCGGCCCCACGCGTCGTCGCACTCGCGCTGGTACTGATCGTGCTCGCGCTGGGCGTCGACCTCCGCGCGTTCCCTGCTGTGCTCCTTCTTATCCCCTTCTTTGCGCGTGCAGATGGCCTGCCGGTGCGCCCAGTACCCTTCCGAGAGTTCGTCTTCTGCTCGTCCCAACCTCCTCCTGACTCCTTCTGCTGGCAGTGTTCCTTCTCAGTCTCCGCTTTTCCTCTGCACGCGCCCCTCCTCGTCTCGTACGTTTCCCCTCTGGTGATACTCCTCCTCCTCCTCTGCTCCTTCGCTGCCTTTCCTCCGCGTCTGCCTCCTTTGGCGGTGGCATCCAGGGTGGCGTCGTCAGCCGCGCGACGGCGCGACGTCGCAGCCGCGCGCTCTTCACCAGGACTCCTGGGCCGGCGGTTCGCCGCCGAAGCCGCCGCCGCCTCTCGGCGTTTGGCGCCGCCCACGGGCCGCCGGCCCGATCTCGAAACCGCGTCTGGGGCAGGCGCCTCCTCCTCCTTGCGGCGCTCGCCGGGGTGACAAGCGCCCGCGTTGCGAAGCAAGAGTGCCCTCCACTTCTCCTCCTTGCCGTCGGTGTCCTCGCCTTGCTCGCCCTCCTTCTCGTGGCAATTCCTGCAGCGAATTCGTCTCCTCGTCTTCCTCCTCATGTTGCCTCGTCATCTTCCTTCTCGTTCTGGGGGCTGCTTTCGGAGGGGTCAGCGCCCGAATCCTGTCGGCGATGTCGGCCCAAGCTTTCCTCTTGGGCCGAAAGCAGCACGTTGGCGGAGTAGGCGGCGCGCTCCTGCTCGACGCCCCCAGAGACGGCGACGACGTCGACGTTTCACCTGCACGCTGCTCGGGATCGCGCTCCAGCACGAACAGCAAGCCGATCTCACTTGCAGCGGGTGGCGCGCCCTCCCGCGGGTCGGCCCCGGAGAGCTCGCGGCCCCGCCTCCGCGACCTCCACCTCGAGCTCCTTTGGGCGCGCCTTTGGGCCTGCAGCCCGCGGGGTCGCCCTTGGTCGCGGGCCCCCTGGGCGGAAGCTGCCTGCCGCTCCAAGTCGGCCCTGCTGTAGTAGTCGGCGCCCTTGTGGCCCCAGCGCCAGCATCTGCCACGGTAGCCCTGGACCTGCTGTTGTCCACGCCCAGCTCCCATGCCACCTGCGCCGCCGTCCTTGACCTTACCTTTGCCGGCGTCCTTGCCTCAGTGCCGTCGCCCTTGCCTGTCCCTGCGCCTTTGCCACCCCTGGGTGTCCCCCTGGGCCCAGAGCTGCCCGAATCCACGGCCTGGGGGCCCGTCCTCGCGACTGTCTGCTCAACGTAGCGCTCGATCTCCTGCTTCAGCAACTCGTAAGTATGCAACTGGCCCGCGGTGAAGTTCAAGTGGTTGCTCAGCACGTCTGGGCACATCGACTGAAGCGTCGCCCGCTTCATGGAGTAGCTAAGCTCCTCGCTGGTGCGTTCCTTGTAGAACATGAAATCCTGCTCCCACGGCTCGATGGCTGGTCTTTGCAAATTTGCGCCGGGCGCAAAAGCTTCCGCAGTTCCCGAAGGCTGGCGCCAACCATCCCATCCCGACGTCTTGCGGGTGCTCTTGATGATGTCGAAGGTCATCGTGCCGTCCGTCATCAAGGACGTCGGGATCGCGTGCAGCCCCCTCTTGAGCTCCGCGGTCTTGGGGAATTCGTCCACGATGGCGTTGGTCCTCTCTTCCGTGATGGTGGCCGCGCCCACGCCAGCCGCCCAGTCCAGCACCTCGTCATGCTCGTACTGACAGGCGGACCAAGCGACGTACTTATACGACCAGCCAGCCCAACCGCTCTCCTTCCCACTGAAGGTCGCTGGCTCCTGCACGGCCCTGCTGTCGATCATGCCCCCGCGTTTCCTGGAAGCGCTTTCCGCCTTCAGGAACTCGGCGTTCTGCTGCACCTCTGCCTGCAGTGCCGTGCTCTGCTCCTGCAGCTGCCCGACCAGTCCGGCCATGGCCTCGTCAGGGCGCAGCTGGGCCGCTGCCATGGCAGCCTGCTGCTGCCTGAGCATATCGCTCATCTGGGCGAAAGCGGCGAGCACCTGCTGCTCGTTCACGCCGCCTCGCCGGACGCAGGCACAAGGCTCGATTCCGAATCCTCGCCCTCAAGCTCACACACCTCAGGCGCAAGCTCCCATCCCGCGGCCGCGCGCAGGGACGAAGCGAGTCGTGGAGACGACCCGCCCTGCTACCATGAGCACGTTTTTCCCTACCTAGGCTCTGCCTAGAAGGGTTCTTACTCTGTTAGCTAAAAGGGCCGGGCAATGGAAATCGCCCTGGGCGGTTCCCCCAGCCCCCGCCCCGCGGTTCCCCCAGTCCCCTGGGAGCTTTAGCTTTAGCTTTAGCTTTAGCTTTAGCTTAGCTTTAGCTTAACTTCAGCTTAGCTTCAGCTTAGCTTTAGCTTAGCGTTAGCTTAGCGCTAGCTTAGCGTAATCTTAGCTTTGGCCTAGCTTCAGCTTAGCGGTAGCTTAGCTTTAGCTTTGCTTTAACTTAGCTTTAGCTTAGATGCAGCTTAGATCTAGCTTAGCTTTAGCTTAGCTTCAGCTTAGCTTGAGCTTAGATTTAGCTTAGCTTTAGCTTAGCTTCAGCTTAACTTCAGCTTAGATTTAGCTTAGCTTTAGCTTAGCTTTAGCTTAGCTTTAGCTTAGCTTTAGCTTAGCTTTAGCTTAGCTTTAGCTTAGCTTTAGCTTAGCTTTAGCTTAGTTTTAGCTTAGCTTCAGCTTAGCTTGAGCTTATATTTAGCTTAGCTTTAGCGTAGCTTTAGCTTAGCCTTAGCTTAGTTTCAGCTTAGCTTCAGCTTAGATTTAGCTTAGCTTTAGCTTAGCTTTAGCTTAGTTTTAGCTTAGCTTCAGCTTAGTTCTAGCTTAGCTTTAGCTTAGCTTTAGCTTAGCTTTAGCTTAGCTTTAGCTTAGCTTTAGCTCAGCTTTAGCTTAGCTTTACTGTTACTACTAATGCTGCTTTCCTAGGGGCTCCAACTCCTAGGTAGGGTCGCACTGGGATAATCCCTACCTAGGCTCTGCCTAGAAGGGTTCTCACTTTCTTTGCTGAAAGGGGCTGGGCAGTGGAAATCGCCCCGGGCGGTTCCCCCAGTCCCCTGTGAGCCAAGCAAAAGCAACATCAAAGGTAAAAGCAAACGCGCTGTTCCCCCAGTTGCGCTCCCGGGGTGCCAAGCAAGAGCAAGAACAAAGGAAAAAGTGGAGGCAAAAGCGAAGGCAAAGCAAAAGCATAGCATAGCATAATATAGCATAGCATAGCATAACATCGCATAACATAGCGCAGCATAGCATAGCGCAGCATAGCATAGCATAGCCTAGCCTAGCCCAGCATAGCATTGAGCAACATAGCATAGCATAGTATAGCAGAGCATAGCACAGCATAAGGCAGCACAGCATCAACTATTGCTGCTGCTGTGTTATACATATATATGTATGTGTGTACTTCTATGTGTGTGCGCACGTATGTTCCATGCATGTTGTCCGTCTGCGGGCCATCTTGAGCCCTTAGTGGGGCAGCTTGAGCCCTTAGGATTCACGAAGGTTTCGCACATAGCATCGGCCGGGAGACATGAAACCCGACGTATTATCGCATGTCCTAAATGTCTTTCTATATATGCAAATCTGTATATATATATATATATACACATAACACACATGTGGAATGCTGCATGTGTGTGTGTGCGTGTGTGTGCGCATGTGTGTGTGTGTGTGCATGGCTACCGCTACTGCTACAACTACGACGATGAGGAGAATGAAGAGGACGGCGTTTACCGCTCCTACTATTGTTGCTTTCCTAGAGGCTCCAACTCCTAGGTAGGGTCGCACTGGGATAATTATCTCTCTCGGACCCTGCAGATGGCTGCAGCATGAAGCACAGTCATTGAGACAAGATGATGCAGCGCCGACTTCGTGACCTTGACATCGGGGTCAATAGGGAGGGAAATCTCTTCAGGAGGAGGACGCGTGGAGGCACGCAGGCGGCGGGCAGCGGCTCGCGAGCACGCTGCCCGAACGAGAGCCGTGGGCAGGACAGCAGACGCCTCCCAGAGAGAGAGGGAGAGAGACATACGCCTCCGAAAAAAGGAGCGTGAGCGGCAGGCTGACTACCACGGTGCAGTCGCCCAAAGCCAGCACACCGACGGCGGAAAGAGCAGGGCTCACGTCCCGTAATGGGTGGCGCGCCAAGGGGGGCAGTGAGAGGGGCAGGTCCCCGCAGAAATGGCGGGATTTCTCCAGAGCCCTCCTGCCTTCTGTGAAGCCCCCTGTGCTTTTCGGAGAAGAGGGAGCATCTCAGAAAGCCCGGGGCCTTCTGAGCCTTCTGACAAGCCCCGACCCCTCTGCCTGTGGAGACCAAAAGGTACCGATACCGCTACTCCCGAGGCCTCTCCAGGGGTGCGCTCTGACCATGATTTCGAGGCGAAACGAGCGGCGGCGACGAGGGCCTCCCAGGAAGTCCCAAAAAGGCGGCGCCCGTCCGCCTAACGAGGTACAGAGGGGAACCAGAGCGTAGCCACTGAGAAGGAAGAGGAGAGGGCAGGAGGAGGGACGAGGAGGACGACGACGACGAGGAAGAGGAGGAGGAACTAGAGCAGCCGGAGGAGGACGGGCAAGGCCTCGCCGAGCCTCCACAGCACGCCGAGCTGGAATGCCGTCGCCCTGATGCCGCCGCCGGAGAAGGCCAGCGAGAAGGTCTCGCCGCCTTCGCTGGAGGGCGTCTCATCCCCCAGAAGCCCAGGGGGGGTGGAGGGCGGAGGGAGGGAGGGCGGGTGCCGGGGACGCGGGCCGGCCAGGAAGAGAGGGAGGGAGGGAGGGAGGGACCTCCCAATGGACTGTCCCAAGCGGCTCAGTCGGGGAGGGGTTGGGCGGGGAGGGAGAGAATGCGGGAAAGAGGACGAGAAAGAGAAGGAGGAGGAGGAAGAGGAGGAGGAGGAGGAGGAGGAGCAGGAGGAGGATGAGAAGGAGCAGGAGGAGGAGGAGGAGGAGGAGGAGAAAGGGAGGGGACGAGAGATGAGGTTCCTCCTCCGTCCCCACCCCCACCCCGTTCTGGGGGCAGGTCCGCTCGGATCGGACTGAGCCCGTCGGCCACCTGCTTTGTGGATGGGCGTCGGGTCTGGGCGACGCAGACCTCGATTGTACTCGAGGGCCTCGCGCAAGGCGGAAGGGAGGTAGGAGGAAGCAGCAGCTGCAGAAAAGGGGGAGGCAGGGAGGAGCAGCAGCTGCAGCTGCAGAAGTGGCAGTGAAGCGGAGGACGGAGGAGGATGAGCAGGAGGAGGAGGAGGAGCAGGAGCAGGAGGATCGGAAGAGGATCAGGAGGAGGAGGATCCCAATCGATCTAAGGATGAACATACTGGCGACCATAATGACCATAATGGTGATGGTGGTGAGGATGGTGATGCTGATGATGCGAATGCTAAAATAATGGTGACGGTGGTGGTGATGATGATGTAGATGATGACGATGATGATGATGATGATGATGCTGATGGCGATGGTGATGAGTATGATGATGGTGATAATGATGATGGTGTCGATGATGAGTATGATGGTAATGATGATGATGATGCTGATGATGATGATTATGATGATGATGGTAGTGATGATGATAATGGTGATGCTGATGATGATGCTGATGACGATGGTGATGATGATCATGATGGTGATAATGATGATGATGATGATGAGGAGGAGGAACGAACGAACGAACGACCACCGATGCGGACAGCAGTCCGGGCCTACTGGAGACCAGGTGAATGAGGCCGTGGCCTCTGAAATACTATTGTGTATGGTAATGCATGCATGCGAGACACAGAAAGTTATGTGAAACGGAGAGGGAGGGGAGGAGGGGGAGGAATCCTTGTAGTCGATGTCGTGGTGTGTTGGTGCCGCGTCGTTGGGTGGAGTCTGTGTTGGTCGTCTGTGCTGGGGTTGGTGTGGATGCTGGCGCAAGGAGTCGGTAGTCGGTATGGTCGTGCTTGGTTGTTGGTGTTCGGTGCTTGTGGTCGCGTGGTCGGCGGTCACTGCTGCATGTGTCAGTTCGTAATATCATGCAGCGATGAAGGCTCCCTCGAGTGACTTCCACCATGTCGTCCGTGTCGCAGCTGTGAGCCACCTCACATCGTTGGTGTCGCGGTGGAGGTATCGTCGCGGTTGGGTGGCGTCGTTGGCGTCGCGTTGTGTGTGATCTTCGCCTGCCTGTCGATGCACGTTGTGTAGGAACTTCCGAATGTCGTCGTCCCAGCGCTTTTGCTGGCCACCATGTTGTCGATAACCAAATTGCCTTGTGTCCGTGTTTGGATTCCAATTCAGAGCTCGCTGTGTCCACCTATTCGACGGGTGGGTCGCTACGCATGCTGCCCACTGCCAAACCATTTTGCGGTGCATTTGGGTGACGTCTGGGATGTCGTGCATGCTCATCAGCTCCTCCGCCCTGCGAGTGCACCGGCGGATGTATTCGGACCAGAGTTCGGCATCGTCTGCCGCCTGCTGGTGTGTCGGAGTCGGGTGGGGTGGGTCGATGCTGTCGTCACTTGTTTGGGGCGGGTCTGATGGAGTCGGTGGGTCGCTGGAAGCGTCGTGGTCGCTGGGGTCGTCGGAGGCGTTGCCGTCGAGGTCATCGTTGTCAGATTTGTCTATCGCTTGGGCAGCATGCGTTGGTGAAACTGCTGACGTGTGTCGTCGCGGTGTCCCGATAATTGCCCTGATCATCCGTCGTTGCGTGCGGCGCTGCTGCTGATGATGATGAGGAGGAGGAGGACGCACCGTAACAGGCGAATGTGCTTGATAACTCCTCCTCTCGGCCCTAATTCAAAAATAGTTCGTCGGATGGAGTGTTAGAGACATACCTGTGATTGGATGTTGGGCGAGCTGGCGTAGGACGCGCTGGTATACTGCCCTACTTAGATCGTCAATTGCAGACCGCCAGGAACTAACGTATCTAAATCCCCTTCCACGCGCAGCTCTCGTTCCTTTCATTGTGTTCCAACCTCTCACGTGTCCAAGTGATGCCATCAACGATCAGCAACACAGCAGGAGCTTTGTCAGATGACAGTATGGTGAGCCACGCACTCCAGATGGATAGCCAAGAAATCGCTGACCCTATGTATACGTGAGACCATTGTTCCGATTTGGCTCTCATCGTGATGCTAGACCTTCTCGCTGTAAACTGTTTGAAAGACTCATCTGGCTGCACCCTGCCTTGGATTACCCAATCCAACAGCTTGATCTGCACCTGTCCAGAGCTTCCCATACATGCGGCAACGACGACCAGTTCGCGACTGGATGATCCCAAGGGCCACTTGGATCAGTAATTCGATACGCCCTGCGTGTAAAATCCATGCTTGAGCTTTTCGGTGAAGAGAACTCGTTTCAAGTATGGACGATCGATGGTGTTGATGGTCGTTTCCACGTCTGCTCACCCATATCCGACCCCGTTCTAGCTACCTCCTGGTCTTACACCTTGGCCCCCTGGAGGTGTCCTCTTGGGACCCCCCCCGCGCCGCGTAAAGTCTCGCCTGGATCCAACCCGTTTCAGCCTCCTGGCCTGTCAGGCTGCCATGGACAGCAAGTCCGAGCAAACTCCCTCACTACGCTGAGCAGGCCCAAACAGTGAAATGCAAAATGCGGTGATATCCTCGAGCGGGCACGCGCTCGCCGACACGGCCGGGGCCGACACGCGGGGGCAACTCGCACCAGGGCTCCTCGAGCCACCAGGCGGGCCCTCATGTAGCGGGCTCCCAGGACGATCCGAGAGCAGACCCAGTGGCGCAGCCATGAGCGAAATGAGAAGCGAAGCTCTAGAATCTACAGATCATACCGCTCAAGCCCCACAAGGAATCCAATCTTCGATTACATTCGTCGGCGCGCACGGCGCCACGCGACGAAACGCAGCTGCTCGGCATGGGCGCCGGGGGGGGGGGAGGGAAGCCCCGACCGATGTCCGAGAGGCTCGTGCTGCTCCTGCTCCTGCAGTGCTGCCGCGCGCCGGGCGCGCCTGTGAGACGCGCCGAGGTTCGCGCGGGCGACGCCGCTAAAAAGTCCCAGCCTTCGCGGCGCAGATCGACGACTCCCGGGCCTTCCTGGCAGCAGCGTTCGCGCCTAACGGCTTCGATCGATCGGGAGCGCGGCGCGCAGGGGCACGATGCCGAGCGCAATCGAACGGTCACAACAGAATTCGCTCAGCGTTTCCAAGTCACAGAGGCCTGCTGGAGACACTTCTGCCTCGACACGGCCGAACGCCAACCCGACCGCAACACTTCTGCCTGTCGGCGCGCGCGCGCGGAGCGCGCCAGGGGCGGCGCCAGCGGCGCCGCCGGGGGGGCCCAGCGCAGATCCAAGAAATCCGCGCGGAGCGCCAAAAATTTATGTTTACGGCGATTTTTCTTCTTCGACTCTCGCCATGGAGCGAATAGAGCCGCAGCGGCGCGCTGCAGGCGGCGAGCGAGGGCTCGGCCATGGCGCATTTACGGCACTGGGCGGCTTGGCGCGACCGGACATGGCTGCCGGACTGCGGCCTGTACCCAACAGAAACGCCCTGCCTGTACGCACCAGCAGCGGGAGCACGGTGCGCCACGTTGCTTGGCGCGGTGGCGCGCGGGCCGCGCAGCGGCAGCAGCTCGCCTTCAGTGGCATCGACCCGCGCTCGGTGGGGCAAGCATTACCGCTGCAGTTAGGTCGGGCATGTCCCCCTACAGTCGGATTTCGGACGAAACACAACAAATATACTCAAAATGCTCAAACAAAAAAACGTCCCCAGACAATTATTTCACTGTGCTTCCTGACAATTTCCGAATATTCCTCCTGCAGTGGGACATGCCCGATTTAACGCTGCAGTGAATCAGCAGGGACGTGCTGCGTACACCGCCCAGGGGGCGCTCAGGGCCGTCCTCGGGGGGCCCAGGGGGAAGACGACGGGCGCCTGCAAGGCGAGTCCATGGGGCCCCCTGGCCAGGCCAGAGAGGCCACATGGCGGGCCTCGGCAGAGTGCGCAGGGGGCATATCGAATGGAACGCCGCCCACGGGATTCAGGGCAGGGCCTGGCGGACTTCGGCAGGGAACATCCTCGGGGGACTCGGTGACGAGAGCTGGCAGAAGGAAAGCTCATCGCCCGCGAGAAGTAATGCCAGAACGCCCAAGGGTTCTCGGAACCAGGCACGCCTGGAAGGCGCCCCACCGTCGGCCAACGCGCGCTGAACGGCACATGCGTCGGAAAACAGCCAGTGCCAACAACAGGGCGCCCACCACAGCGGGGCGGAGGGGCAGGTAAAGGCGGTGACATCAGGCCGCATTGCTCCGTCGACCCAGCCCCCGCAGCCGGGCTGAGCGCGACCCCGATCAGGCCATCTCGATCATGGGGCCTCGGGCCATCCTGGCATGTCCGGCCAGCGGGCGGCCAGAGGACGCCTTGTTCTTTCGGTGCCGAGCAAGACCTCTCAATTGGCCCAACCCCCGCGGGCTGGCCCAAGCCGGCAACGAGCCATCTTGCCCATGCAGCCTCGGAGCATCCTGCCCCATGGGCTCAGCCACTGCGGGCTAGACCAAGGCGGTCTCAGGCCGTCTTGCTCCTTTGGCACCACACCCTTCGACTCATCCCCTGCTGGGTGGGCCAAAGAGGCCTCGCGCGCGACGCACGCGCAGCGCCCTCCCCGCTCCTTCAAGACGCGTGCGACACCAACAAAACTGCGTCAAGGCCCCGGCGCCATCGGTTACCCGAACACAACGGCATGTAGGACGCGCGCGCGCGCCATCGCGTAATGTGCCGGCGTCCCCTGTGCCGCATGTCTTAAACTGCCCCACACCATCTCGCTCAGCTGAGCACGCTCGACACACAGAAATTGCGCAAGAGGGTCTAGGCTGTAGATGCAAGACGCCAAAGGCGCAATTACTCTGATCGTGGCTTAAGAAACGGTTGCTTCACATTGCCATCCAAGGGCATGTAATCGGAAAAACACACACGCATGCAAATTATGTTATTCCCATGCTGTCGTCGTGAATATGCTGACCGTGTGGATCCAGATCCCGCTTCACATCTGTAGCGTCGAAGGTACTGCGAGCGAAAGTGAAGATGTTGTTGGACCAGCTCGCGTGACCAGGAAGTGACTGGTACCCAAAAGCTGCCATTTCAAGAATCAAGATGGTGCTCCCCCAATAAGCGCAATTCTTCCCCAGCTCATCGCAGTGGCGTCTTCCAGTCACCCCAGACTCCTGCCGGCAGTCTCAGCTCTGGTGAGTACGTCAATCTTTTCGGGGGCGCGCAAACATGGATCGGGGGAAGTGCCCTCACCCAAAATGCGGCCGGTGCCGCCCCGTTCGGCGGCGGAAATCCGCGATGTCCCATGGAAACGGGACCCGCCGCTAATCCACGCCCCCTTGATCCATGCTTGCGACCGCCTGATTTGTCCCGCACGATCGGGTCGGACACAGCATCCCCCGAATGCAGACTGATGCGCTGCTGCGAGCACCCGTACGGCTGCTGCCGGGGAGCCCTGTGCGAGTCCGCGGCCAAAGCGAGATGGCGCGCCATCGCGCTCGCCTTGAAGGAAGCGGGTCCTGAGGCAAGTGGGCCTTAGGCGCTAGGGCCTCGAACCTGGGACAGCTCTTCATCCTGAGCCGTTTTTCGATGGCCCCAGGGCCCTGGGGAAGGTCTCGTGCAGCCGAGAACGGCAACAGAACTTCAGGGTCCGTTCCCCTGAGGGCCCTGTGTCTTCATGGCGACACGTCGGCGATGGCCACGGATGCCCGGTCCATCCCTTTCCGGCCCACTTCCCGTGATTGAGATACGGCCGTTGCGACATCATATGTGTCTGGCCTCCTCGGCGGGCCCATGTTACAATTTGTTCCGATCCATGTGTGACCGAGTAAAGAGTATGACGGGTAGTGGCACTACCATGTGCGTCTCCGCTGGAGACATCAGCTCTGCCACTGACCAACTGTTGATACTGCGAATGAGAAATGTGTTATCCAATGGCAAATCATAGTTCAACAACAATATGCCCAAAAACCAACGCTCGTACGGAAAAGGAGAAAGAGGATGGAGGTGAAGGGAGGTGGAGAAGAGAGAAGGAGGTGGAGGGAAGAGGAGGGTGGAGGACGAGGAGCATGGATGACAAGGAGGGGTCGGAGAAGCAGGAGGAGGAGGAGGAAGGCGGAGGAAGAGGAGGGAGAGGAGGTGGTGGATGAGATCCAGGAGGACGGGGGGGAGGGAGAGCGGAGGAGGAAGGAGGAAGAGGGGAACGAGCAAGAAAGGAGCCTGGCGCTCTTCCTGTACGACCTCGTCGAACTTCATGAAGCCCTGCACAGGCCCCACGGTGGAGGTGGACAGGCTGGACTTCTCGCTGTCCTCCTCCTCGACCTCCTCCTCTGTGTCCTGCTCGTCGGCTACGCCTGCGTGCGGGTGGGTGGTCGAGCTCATCAGGCAAGTCTTCCTCGAGCTGCTCGGGCGCAGCATGCGAGAGAACACAGACGTTGGCTGCTGCGCGGCTGTCTTGAGCCCAAAAGTGACCCTTGCGCCAGCCCATACGATGATGGTGAGGATGAAGTTGGCGCTAGTACGATCACGGTCACAACCCTGACGTCTGTGGGTTCGTGATGAAGCAAGTACTCAACGTAATCGTGAAGAGGGAAGGGCAGCATAGAATAGGCGCCTCATTACTATCATTATGGCAGGGGCGATTCTCCGATATCGAACATCAGGAGAGACTCGATATACTGGCGCTTGTAGCCGCGGACGTGCAACCTGATACTGCAGCTGAGTATCCTGTGCACCTACGGATGCGATGAGCCTCTTGGTTTGGTTCCAGGGAGCCGGCGGTTCTAACTGACCGAGTCGGAGTGTCCCATCCTCCTCCTCCCCCCCCTCCTTCTCCTCCTCCTCCTCCTCCTCCTCCTCCTCCTCCTCCTCTTCATTATCATCCTCCAAGCTGTTATGCAGATGGGGGCCATGCTTCTTAAACATGGAAATGTAGCCGGATACCTCGCTGAGCTACATGGTCATACAGTGGGGGCTCGACCACAAGAAACCTTCCACAAGAAGCCCAACCCTGAGACCCCAGGACGTCCATCGATTTTGGGTGCGGGAGCGTCACGCTCTCCATCGCTTAACCATCGAAACCCAAGAGACCCAGGGCACCCTGGAGGCGAGCAGGGCGTTTCTTGGCATGGGCCCCCGCTGTACCTTGTGGCACTCCACTGCTTGCCAGAAGCTCGCGAATCCTGCCTTCAGGCATGGGGCTCGAGCGCGAATGGCAGGCCCACGGGGGGCCGGTCTTCCAGGGAGACGCCTCGTGTGAAGGGGCCCACAGACACACGGAGAAGTACACACACAAATCCTTGGATTCCCCATATTTTCTCTGATTTTCTGGGCTTTCGTCTTTCCCCCCCCCCCACACACTTTCCATGCTTTCCCATATTTTCCCGGGGAATCGACGATGAATTGTGTCTGTGTATTTTTTCCCCTCCTGAAGGAGGCGCCTCCTGTAATGAGAAAACAGGCCTGCATGAGCTTGAGATTTGGACGCCCGATCTGAATACGGACAGAATGGGTACAGTGCCCAACAACAAATGCTGCCCCCAACCAGCAGCGGCCGCTGTTGGGCAGGCGGCCTTCTGCACCAAGTGGACACAGGCCGCGGCGGCGCGAACAGCGAGTCCTGTTCAAAATGAACGGGAACTTCTGTTGGGCAGTGCATCCACTCCCGATAAGAGGCGGCAGCATCGTGGATGCACCTTTGGCTCACTCTGGCTCTCCTCTTCCCTAAGCAAGCTGTTGGGTCTCAGGGGCCCTGGTTCTCCTCCTCCTCCTCCTTCTCCTCCTACTCCTCCTCCTCCTCCTCCTCCTCCTCCTCCTCCTCCTCCTCCTCCTCCTCCTACTCCTCCTCTCCAGACAGCCGGCGCCGTGACTTTAGCCACGACGCGGCTCCCGAGAGGTCTCGACCTATTCATCCCGAGTCGTTTGTCTGAACGCCATGGGGCCTGGCGAGGGCCCCCTGAAGCCGAACATCGTGAACGACTGCCCGTTGGGATTTTTTCACGACGCGAAGTTGTCTGGGTCATCCTCGTCCTCTCCGCGCAGCCTCTCTTGAGCAGGGGCCGACCGTCCCGACACTCCTATGGGCCTACAACGGCATGTTCTTAGAACCCAGAACTGTTATAAGAAAAAACACTGTCCTTATACCTAAGCCCGATGTGACAAACCAAGACGGTCTCAGCCAGAAATGTTCTAAGAACATTTCCTGCAGACCACAAAAAGTTATCTTATAACATTCGGTGGTGGGCATACAGAGTAGGCAAGACGCTTCGCCACTGCTCGACTCATCCTCTCCCTGCAGTCTCTCCCGCAGGGGAAGATGCGGGGGCCCAAAATATACACCACCACCACCAGGCGGCCTTAGGAAAGGTACAATTCCTGCCCGCGACCGTCACAAAAGGTGTGTCTCGGCCTGCCCCTGCCATGCGCAGGTACATGCCACGTCGTCATGCACGCAGATGGCGGCCTCATTCGGTCGTGGATAGTTGCTCCCGAGCACCCTATGGCAGCATGGTGCTGGTGTATAAAAAACAATGGGGCCACCCAGGATTTGTACACACCACCCGAAATATACACCACGTGAAGGTGCTGCTTTTTGCGCATATAACCGCGTGCCCACATGACGCTGCACACGCGACGTGTCATGATCGCGAGATTTGACGCACCGTGCAACTCACCGCCGAAGTAATAATCCGATCAACCCCAATGACAGAAAACCAGCCCGCGGTGGTGATGTATATGCAGCAGGTGCAGCGCTCCTTCCTCTTCCTCCTCCTTCCTCCTTGCTCCCTCCTCCTCCTCCTCCTCCTCCTCCTCCGCTTCCTTCTCCCACCCCGAAGGGACGGCGATGGCGACGGCGACGGCGACGGCAGAGCCCCGTGCCGCCGAGGCGCCGAGGCCCCCGCTTGCAGAGAGCCCTCCGCCGCCTGGGCCACCGCGGCGGCGGCCTGCGCACGCGGAGGGCGGCCGTCGCGCCCAGTGGCCTCCCTCCCTCCCTCCCTCCCTCCCTCCTCCTCCTCCTCCTCCTCTCCTCCCTCCTCCTCCTCCTCCCTCCTCCTCCTCCTCCCTCCTCCTCCTCCTCCTCCTCCTCCTCCTCCTCCTCCTGGAGCCCGGCGGCGGGGGGATCTCCGATGCTTTGATGATTCCAACGGACGCTCGGGTCATCCTTCGCCGCCAGCGAGTACACCGGCTTTGTCTTCTCCCTCGGCGCCTTCCTCGCGTTCTTGGTGCCCTACGTCGCCTTCGCGCCATTTTGGCCGCCTGAGTTCCACCCCGCACCTGGCGTTGCTCGTTGCTTGCTTTCCGCAGCTGGAAGCATACCCTGCCCCTGCTAGCCCCGCGTTCGACCCGTTTCGCGCGCCCGCGTAACAAGAATTATTCCAACGGTGGTTTGTCCTCGATGTGGGCCTCGGGGGCTGTGTTCCGGCCCTGGGGCCAACGGCCATGGATGCTGTGCCCGCGGAAGGAGTTGGGAGCTTCGGGGCCACGCGTTGCAGAAATCAGATCGCCGGATGTCTGGGTCTGTCTGGGGGCACTGGCGGGCTTCCAACGGCAACGTGCCATTGATGCTCTTTCTCCCTTCCGACCGCTGGGGCCCGGCTGGCCAGAGGAAGAGGAAGAGGAGGAGGAGGGGGAGGGCGGAGGAGGAAGGAGGAGGAGGAAGAGGAGGAGGAGGAGGAGGAGGAGGAGGAGGAAGCCCTTTCCGTGACGGAGCCCCTCCGCCCTCGGGGAGGTCCCCTCCAGCCACCGTCCACGCCTTCGGTCGAGAGGCGCGGGGGTCGTAGCGCCTGGGGCCGATGTGCCAGGGATCGATCAGGTGGCCCCTGTCGGCGGCGAGCGAGCGGGGAGATGAGAAGGAGAAGGGCTTCTGCGAAGGCGGAGGGACTTCTCAGAAGCCCTCGCGCCTTCTGACAAGTTTTCTGTGTCTTCGGGGGAGGCTTAGACAACTTTTTTGAGCAGGCCTTCTCTTCTCCTTCTCCCTTCCCCCCCTCGCTCGCCGCCGACCCTGTCCACGCGGCGCATGCTCAACTACTGTGACTCCTGTCCGTGCACCCCAGAAACACAACCCACACCAACAGGCTCCGCGCAGCCACTGGCGGGGTGACGACAGAGACAGAGGGCCAACTACCCAGACGAGTGGCGAATGCCGCAAGCCTGATGCACACTACTGTACATACAGGTCCTGAGCGAGATTTTGCCGTCGAGGTGCGATGAAGCGCAGCAAATGAGTAAAAACAGAGAAGGGGAGAGGATGAGGATGAGGAGGAGGAGGAGGAGGAGGAGGCGCAGGAGCAGGAGGAGCAGGAGGAGCAGGAGGAGGAGGAGCGGGAGGAGAAGGAGGAGGAGGAGGAAGAAGAAGAAGAAGAAGCTGAAGACAGGACATATCCGCCGGCCCCCTTTGGGGCCAACAGGCTGCAAGGCCGAGGCTGTCCTGTTCCCTGCAATGCCAAGTCTAGGCGAACCGTGTGGCCGGTGAACGGTGCGATGTGGAACCTGGTGTCAGCAACACTCAACACGCGCAGAAACAATTGTAGCAAATCACAAGCCATACGTTCCAACGTTTCGAATATACGAATGCTTTGAGCGAAGAGGACACAACGAATTGCAGGACAGCGCGAAAACTACATGTCCCTACAATTGGTTTAATCGCCGTTACGGAGAACACCGTTAGCCCGGATACGGTGTGACAGTTGAAGTTTAATCATGCTCTTACAGCTCCAATGTTGCAATGATTGGACTCCGCATGAGGGAGGGGAACACAGCAGGAAAATCAGCAAACTACTACTCCAGAATTGCGTGATCTGAATTTCTGAGGTGGGGTCCTGGGACTTATAAAACACTTCAGGTTTGCGCCCTCAAGGTCACGATCCCTGGCAACCGATTCGCGCCCCCGAGGGCACAACCTGCAGTAAATTACAACAGGCTCGCGCTCCGAAAGCCAGAATCATTCACTCATTACGGCGAAGTCGCGCCCCCCAGGCCACAATCTCATGTAAATTAGACAACCTTGCGTTCCGAGGTCGCAACCAACATAAACATTGCAATACATTCTCCAAGAGACACAATCCCTAGCACATCACAACGCGCTCGCATTCTCGAAGCCACGACCGCTTTTGCAAATTACAGCGGGTTCGCGCCCTCGAGCCCACAATGCATTGCAAAGTACGGGTGCGCGCTGCGCGCTTCCGAGGCCACACTCACTCGTAAGTCACAGCGTGTTCGCGTTCCCTTGGCCATCCCGCGGAGGCTGCCCAGACGTGCCGTCCCCTCCCAGTGCAGAAGTTGTCGATTGCCGTGTTGGAACACGTGCTCGGGGGGCGCTTTTGGGACCCTCGCTGTTTCCTGAGAATTCGGCTCTGGACCCGAGGGCACAAATCATCTATAATAGCTAGGGACGCGCGCTCCCAAAGACGGGAACCGCTGCTGAGGCCACGATCCCACGTTAACTACAACAGACGCGCGCAAACAGCTACGTAGCCAGCAAACCGCCCAAATCAACTGTCAACCATCAA